GATCATATGAGGAAACTGAAGCTACAAATAAAAATTAATTTTGGATAATTCTTGGTGTAATTTAAATAGCTGTGTTTTGATCATTTTTTCATTTTTCAGTTATAAATTGAAAAATTTCAAGAGGTATTTAACTTTAAAATGTTCTTAAAAACGGAAAAAGAAAAAGTCTATGTAATTTAATGTTGTGTGTCTTTGTTGTGAAAAAAAACTGATATTCCAGTTTCTTCGACAGCAAATGACTCTATATATACTTTACTGCTATAACTTTTTATGGGATTTTCATAATGTTATGTTGAATTTATGAATTAACATGATGATCAATAAATACTCGAAGAGAAACGCAAAGAGTGCTGTGACCGTGGGCAAAAAGTAGAGAAAATCGAAATTGGTGGAGTCTCTGGCATTTCGCCGGCCTACCAATTGCTTATTTTAATCCACTGTTCTCTTTGCAGTCAAATGCGTTTGTTGAGAATTTTCTCATACGAAACCTTTTGGACCATATGTTGGTGAAAGAATCCTTTAGCGAGGGAACTTAACCGATTACGGTGAAACTTATCAGCTGCAGTCATTATATACAAATAAAAAGAGTAAGCCAGGCGAATAAACTACTATAATACACACTATAAACTTTGAACAAAGGAAAATTTATAAAAATTATATTCATCATTATGGAAAGGAAGTCTTCACTGATTGAAACCTCTGATGTCACTCGTGTTGTAACACTCGACATGTAGATTGAAAAACATATAGGCGACCGTATTTTCCACTCGGTCGAGCGGAGTTTTGCAAGTGACACAGAACCAAACCAGAACCGAGCAGTCATAAAACTAATTCTCTGCAATCATCCATTTCTTTAAAATGGATGATTTATGATTAATCGAAGCACCTCGTTAAAACGAGGTGCTTCGATCATGACAGTAAAGAATACAGAATCACTCGCCAATTCCTCCAACGAATCCAGGTCAGTGTTTTACTGCCCGGAGTCACCACAATTCATCTGGGACTTCTTTTAAGATTATTGTTGCCATCACGACCATTGCTTGTCCCGTTACCACTCTGTTAAACCTCTTGGTGATAATAACAGTGAAGACGAGGAGAGAATTGAAAAAGAATTCAAACATTCTGCTGTCTAGCGTGGCCTTAGCTGATCTTTTGGTGGGCGCTGTATATATGCCACTGTCTATCATGTTTGACACGTTAGTCATCCAAAGAGTTTTAGCTGCGGATTTTATCTGTATAATGTATTTCGTAAATGCCTCTGTAATGTATACTATTTGTGGTGCGTCATTTTTTCATTTGCTCCTAATTGCTTGGGAGAGGTATGTAGCGATAGCGAAATGGATGGAGTACAAGACTATGGTTACAAGAGGCCGTGTAAACAAGTACACAAGAGTTGCATGGCTGTCGGCAGCGATAATGGTTGTTCCTGTGGTTATCATGGTTAGCGTTCGTTATGAAATCTTGCTAATCATAAACATCATTTTGAGTATTTTCTGGTTTGTCTGCTTATCTCTCATAGCATTTTTTATGTCAAGGCTTATCTCGCGTAGCGAAAATGGCACCGAACGAGAATCTGCTCAGTAAATGTTTTGGTCAAAGGGAAGCTTGAAAGCAAGGTTGGTTACACGACTTTCTCGTTAACCGTTTTCGTTCGTGTCTCGTGTGTTCCGAGCGTCGTCGTTCTTATTTGTCACAGAGTTTTACCTTTTTTCCGCCAAATTTCTACTATGCGATGGGCAGAAACAATACTTCAGTTAAACTCTCTGTTCAACCCACTATTGTACTGGTATAGAAAACGCCGCTTGAGGATAGCTACATTGGAGCTGTTATGCTGCAGAAACAGGCCACCAGCTCGCACTGCGCGTCACATTAGGCAACGTCGCTATTCCGTGGCATCGCTAGATGTTGAAAAACTTTAAGGCGAGCAAACAGGCGCTCGATTATTGAGGTCAGAATTTCTCGGTGCTATGATGCGTTTAGACACGTTTCGGCAGAGGCGGAATGAGGCAGTGAAGGAAAGACCCATGTCAGCTCCATCAAGGATAGGAAGCGACGACAACAGCGCAACTAACTAACTGTAACAGTTCAGATCGAAAATGCCCCAGGAGGAAAGAGTATTCAGCGAAAAACTGAATTAACGACGAAAAACACTATTGAGTTTAGAAGATCTCGGCATCAGGTCGGTTGCAAAATTGTGCGATCAAGTTCACGGAATAAAAACTCTTTCGTGTACATGTCACTAACTAAATGCATTAAAATGCGACACAGAGGAATGCCCCGATATCCAAAGTGCCAACAATATTTAAAACAAACTTACATGAACCAAAGGACAGAATAAGTGTTGTTGAGTTGACCAATGAGAAAGAACTTTCGTATAATCGTTACCAGGAAACAAAACTATAATGAGTTAATTACAATTAGTACAAGCTAAAATAAAATGTTTCCAATTCCCTTCGAACGAATGATCAGCACATTAAATGAAATTTACCACTAAAAGTAATTATGTGTATGCTTTGACTTGCCTTTGCAGACTTACTAGAACCGACCAATGACTGTTGACAAACTTTTGACAAGTCTTACAGCTAGTGTGTTCGTCTCCGGATCGAGCGGTCCGTGTTTGAACCCTGGCTGGGGACATTGTGTTGTGTTCTTGGGCAAGACACTTTACTCTCACAGTACCTCTCTCCACCCAGGTGTATAAATGCGTACCAGCGAATTTAATGTTGCGGGTAACCCTGTGATGGATTAGCATCCCATCCAGGGAGGAGAAGAAATACTACTAGTCACTTCATGCTGGAGAAACCGGGATAAGCTCCGGCCTGGTGGGCCATACCATCACAGCTAAACTGATCAATCACTTTCAACGGGACCAGACTTAAACACTATCGACTTACAAACTCTGTTCACCTAACTCTGAAGATGCATGACTTCCGCTCAGCTGAGGTTGTCGTAATGCCAGTCACCAACAACGGTTCTTTTCAGAACTAATCACACTATGCAAACCATTTCATTTGCATTGGTAATTAATACCCTGGGGATTATGCAAATGACAGTATCGGAGAGAATTTACTCGTGTTCCACCCCATCACTCTAGCTACTCGAGACCGCGAAAGCGAAGAGGTTGGCCGCCCACCCAACGAGTAAGTAGGGCTTGATCTAGTTGTCCACTTCCATTTTCGCCTGGTCTTAGGTTTGTCCCAGGCCAGAACGATTCCCCATAACTTACTACCATGTCACTGATAACAATACCCAGGGTAGAATATTACACTGTTTTTAGACTAATGCTCCACTTCAACGACGGGGGTGCTCGTCGGAAATTTTGA